ACACAGTAGAACACCTTTTGTTTCGTCTTGTCTTTCTTAGTAAAAAGAGACTTTCTTATTTAAATCTATGATGGATATTGATACGGTTGTGGTTACCAGTGGTTACCAGGTTTAGATAAATTGCATAATACGGATAAGCTAACATAATGTATCTTCATCATTTTATTAGTTTATGCACCAAACTATTTTTTTTCATGATTATTGTAATAATAGTTATGTCATAATCGATAAAAGAAAATAGTTTAATGGCTAAATCGTTTAATAATAGTTGAGTAGCTAAATTATTAAAAAACAATAGTTTGTGGCTATATCAGTAAAAAAAAAATAATAATAATAAATAAATAAAAAGTTATGTTGTTAAAACGACAAAAATTTATGGTCAAATGGCTAAAATATTAAAAATAGAATGACTAAATCGATAAAAATAATAAGATGTGGTTAAATCGAAAAATGGTAAAAATTTGTTGTGTTGTTTTTGTACTTTGCCCTTGTCTTGAAAATGTGTAACAGGGGAGAATATTTTTTTTAAAAGTCAATAAATATAAATTGATTATCACATATAATACTTAAATGTTTAAATTGATAAAAGGGTGAAATTACGAGATTCTTATATCATTGTCTTGACTTTTGATGTTCAGGCCAACATGTAGTGACCACTCAAAAGCAAAGGAAGCAACATTGACAAGGAGGGAATGTAATTCAAGTAGTTGTCGAAGCTACGAGATGGAGCAATGACCATGGAATACTCATTAACCATCACAGATTGTTTGACTCGCATTGCAAGTTTTGTTAGATGTCGGCTTCCCGTTTTTACCCTTTTATTGAGAAATTCCTTTTGACATATATCAATCTTTGTGTGCATAATAGGTGATTAAACGTGATATCTATAAGTCATATATAAATTGTTTTAGTAAACAATGAATTCCCAACCCTTTAATTATTTTTATTTAGAATCAAAAAATATAGTTCAAGAAAATTATGTTATTACTCTGCTTTAGCCTTGTGCTGTCATTTTGTTTTCGATTTGGTCAATCTCGTGTATGCCTTATAAATCCCCTGTTAGAAAGTAGGGACGAAAGTGGGTCCAAACCCGGCACGGATGGACCCAAACCTGAAAAACCAGGAAACCAGTTAATGGGATTTTGTAGGATCGGAAACCGGGCCGGTATATAGGTACAAATTCTGGTTCGTTCCGAGTAGGTTAGCAGGAAAAGTGGGTCTAGAACTGGAAAACCCGGAAACGTGAAAGTGGGTCGGGTGGAACTGAGTAAAGTGGATCTAGAACCGGAAAATTTTCAGCTTTGATATCTCGAGTTCGGGGGACTATAAATCATTGAATATTTAAACAAAAATATCAAAATTATAGTCTTAAATTATGTACTAACAATTCTCTTTATCTTTTTCTTTCGTCCTCTTTCTTTTTTTTCTTTTTTCTTTTTTCTCTATCTCTGCTCACAACAATTCTCTTACTCTCTCATTCTTTTCGTATCTCTACTCTTTCTACTCAATCTTTTCTTTTCTTTATCTCTTTCCCATTCTCTCTAGATCTCCATCTTTT